CATTCCACGAGCAATCTTTTGCGATCTTTACTCCGAGGTATGTGTACTGGTCCACTACTGCAATCTCCTCGATCCCCCACTTCCATTTATGTTCTACTGGTTCCTCCCTGCCCTCGTTGCATACCATGACGGCACTTTTCGTAACGTTGGCAGACAATCTCCACTTATCAGTAAATTTTTTCGCCGCGTCAATTTGCAGTTGCAGTCCCTCAGGGGTGTCCGACATACCAACAAAGGGGGGGGGGGGCTTTCGTGACATTGGCCCGAATGAAAGCACCGAAGTGGATCGGTTGACCAACAGTCTTCCTTCTCATTGGTTAATGTTTTGGCCAACTTACCTTGCGCCCGTGCGCGGCCTTTTGGCCGCCTACGATGGCGATGGCTCTCAGCATTGCGGGGGGCATTGGGGAAGAAACGACACGTTATCACCCAGAAATACACGCCTTCTTTCTACATCGGCGGAAACCCTCTCTTTAAGTTTGCCTTGTTCTGAGCCCCCTCCTCTTTTGGACACCAACGAGCGTCGTTGCGTCTCCCGGTCTCAGCGAATCGTGTGCACCTATGGTGCCTCCTCCCCCCCCCCACCGCCGACGATCACTTTCGCGGCAGATCACGCTCGCTCTCAACCGGCCAGACATGGCCTACAGCGCTGCGGACGCGCTCGCGTCGGCCATGTACGATAGCATGTTCGACTGGCTCGTTGGGCGGGTGAACTTTGCGGTGCAGGTGCGTGCGGCGGGATTAGTGCCGGTAGGGTTGGCGGCGGGCGTTTGGGCTTTGCCGTCGGGAGCCAACCCGTGTGGGTGTACGGTCTTTTGGTCCGTTCCTTGTGAGGGTTTTGGGCAAGACGAGTCTTGACGTGTCGCTCGCTTTTTGCTCCTTCTTGTTTCCGTACCTCCTCTGCACCGGAATGTATCGCCGGTGAAACGAATATGTTTGTACGCCTTTTCATTTTTTTATTTCGTTGTAGTCTTTAACTGGTTGGTTTCGGGTAGGAGATAGGTCTGGACGTGTGGTTCGCTGTTTTCCTTCGTTTTCGGGGACGGGCAGTAAGGAGCGCTTGCACGGCGTCGTCCAGCAAACTGTTTTTTTTTTTCATTGTTATTTGGTCAATTTACTGTTGAAATTTGTCCGTTTCTATTTATCTCTGCTGTTTGTTTTTTTCCAATTTCACTGCTGGCTTTTTTTTTTTTTGCCGTTTTTCTGCTTTTTTG